TTTGTTGCTTGAGGTACACAGGAATCCCTTTCATGGGGGCCAGCATGGATACAGTCTTAGTTTTAATTACCTGCAAAATTAAATATCAAGCAAAAGTGGGTTGTAGTTCTGAAACTCAACCATCTTTGGCCACACCAGTAGGAGCAGAATGTCCAAATGGTTAGAGAAAAGAGTTATCCTGGCTCCCCTCTGATCAGTCCACACACCTGGGCTTGTGCATCTAATGCTGGGCACTGCATTTTTGAGGGGCATCCACAAAGGTTTGCAGAGAGTGAGGAATCCAGAAGCAAACGCTGGAAGAACACTCCCTTGGGAAACAGTCAAAGACCCTGTGAGGAAAGACATGAAGGGTGATGTAAGAACCCTCCTGCACTAACTGGAGGCTGTCCTGTTGAAATGGGGGCAGACTGTGTTGCTTTAGAGAGCAGAATTGGGCCACTCGCTAGTAAAAGAGTTTGGAATGAATGCTTCAGAGGAATTCTGCAAACACCTTATACTGGGACTTAGCAAGGTACCTTCATGGCATCCCCATGTACAGGGCAGAAATAAGCACTCCGTGGTAATACAGTCAGATGGATGGGGAGACTGGCCATGCTCTACGAGTTAGTTTAATGGAGTATAGAAGCCAGCCTTCAAGATGTCCCCAGTGATCCCCATCCCCTGGTATTCACACCCTGTATGACCCTCCCACAGTAGTTCAGACCCTCCCACTGTAGTAATTGGACCCTGTGTGACCAATAGAATACAAAAGCGTATGACATCCAAAGCTATGACACAGAAGCACTACACTCACTGTCTCACTCACTGTGGTGAAAGCCAGCTGCCATGTCATGAGGACACTCAAGCAGCTCCATCAGGAGGCCCTATGGAGATGAAATGAGGCCACTGGCCAGCAGCCAGCACCAACTTGCCAATCATGTGAGTGACCCACCTTGGACATGGATCCTCAAGCCCCAGTCAAGCCTTCAGTTGACTGCAGCTGTAGCTGACATCTGACTACAACTTTGTGAGCTAGTCCAAGCCAGAACTGCCTGGCGAGTTTCTCCCAAATTCCTGATCCATAGAAACCATGAGAGATATTAAAGGACTATTGTTTTAAGCCACTCAGTTTTGGGGTGATCTGCTACACAGCCATTATAATTGCAATATGGAACTATGTCATTCATTCCAGGAGGCCTGTCTCTAGTGCTCTGCTCTAGAACTCAGCCCTAATCTCCATCCCAGGCAATATTTTTATGAACAGCCTGAGTGAAAACATAGAAGTGGCACACTAGTTAGCTTTGCAGAATGTCTGCTGCTAAGAGGAATGGCAAACACATAGAATAATAGAGTCAGACTCCAAGATGATCTGTAAACTGAAGAGTAAACTGAATTAGTTAATGTAATGTTTAATAGAAGCAAAAATGAAGCCCCACACTTGGATTAAAAAAACCCATTGTACCAGGATAAGCCAAAGGAGATGCTAGGTGGCAGCAGCACATGTGGAGAGGAGGTCTGAACTGACTGCAGGCTCCACATGAGTCATGATGAGGCTGTCATAAAAGCACATAAATGTTGACTGCATTACCAGAAGCATAGGACCCAGGTTATGGAGGTGAGCTCTGCTCTGGACTGAGCACTCCAACAGGGGGAGTGAGTTTGAACTCTTTATATGAGACACAGGCAGTCCAGACCTGCTTAAAGAAGATTGATGGGGCAGGGTAGAGGTCTGCTGATGGAGACAGATGAGGAAGGATAGAAGGAGAGAGGATGCCCCAATCCAAAAGGAGAAGAGCAAGAAGGGAGAGACTTGAGATCACTGATTCCAAACACAGAAAGGTTTATCACGTGGCAGGAGGTCCTGGGACAGGAATGGGGGCAGTGGTGGAAATAGGCCTGTCTTGTTTACTGCTGAATCCATAGTATTGGGCATGAGCTTCTATGAAAGCTGAAAGCTACCTAAATACTAGAACCATGTGAAAAAATTGGATGTGGCCTCAGAAGGGAGTCAAACTCATGGCCACATCGAAGCAGAGTCTGATGTCCTACTTGAGGGAAACATCATGGACAGCACTAGCATACTCTATGGAGGGTTGTCCTTAAAGTTCTCCAAGAGCTCTTCCCAGCTCTGAGATTCTCTCATTCTGTGATTTTGTGATTGAATGAGTAGAATCTGCTGAATGATGTCAGCACAGTGCTTCTCAAACTTCAGCAGGCATATACAACATGGAAGGGATCTTGTTAAAATGCAGATTGTGAGTCAGTAGGTCTGGGGAACCTGGCATTCTTCATTTTTAATAAGCTCCCAGGTGACACTGCCAGTCTATAGACCATACTCTGAGCAGCAAGAGGTTAGAAACCGCCAGTTACAGCAGATTGCATCGGGCGGCCTGGAAAAGGCATTAGGCAGCTGTAAAGTATTCTAGCAGAGGAGGGATGACCAGCTTCAGAAATATTACACCAGAACAGAGCTCCTGAGTTGGACAGGAGGAGCCTGTCTATGCCACCAAGGGCCTTCTGACACTCATGTCCTTTGATTCTCTGAATACTGTCTTTAAAGTGTTCAAATGTGTTGCCATCATCCTGGGTTTTCTATATCCTTTAGGGGTAGGGAGTGTGGAGTCATACCAACCTGCACTCCAATCCCATTCACTACCTTTGTGGCCTCTGAGTCTTGGTTTCTCAGTATGTAAATGGGAATGGCATCCATCTGAGAGGCTGCTGTACCAAGCAGCATCTGACACATAATGGGTGCCCAATATGTTTCTTAGACTCATTACAAAACCAGATGATCAATAAACATTTGTTCCCTTCAATACAAAGATAAATTGCCTAATTAATATTTCCCTCTGACTTGTTCTTCATTAACCCTGCCTGCCGTAGGATGAATGGCGGCATGACCCCATTTTATAAATGAGAGTAATTTGTTCTCCCCCAAGGCATCAGGTAAATACAGGCATGAGAATCTATGACCTCGTTGGAATTTCAGGGTTTGTTTTTTTTCCCAGAAGGGTCATTTCTCCCTGGTCCAGGCATTGAGGCCAGTAACTACTAAGATTTCATCCCATTTCTTTATCTGTGAGAGAAGCCACTATCACCCCTTAAAGGGACTTCGGTCACCAGCATTTTGTCTGTGTCCTAAATGCTTCAAGACTTACAGACCTGACTCAATAGGCTCAGGTAGAAAAGGGTGAAATCAAGAATGGCCAACCACTGGAACACTTTACTCATTGCTCTGAGAGGCGGGTGGGTAGAGTGGGCACTGCGCCCCCTTTGACGGGGCTTCACTGCCCTGGACAGGGGAGAGACAGGGGGCTCACAGAGCATGTGCTGGGCCAGGGCCAGACCCGCCCCCAAGCAGAGATGGCTAGTAAAATAACCACACAATTCCAGTGGAGTCGCCCTGGGGAAACTGAGGCACTTCAGTTCTTTTTCATCAAGGAACTGATTAAAGTGTGGTCTATTATCTCTATAGTGGGAGCCCCCAAAGATTCCACTTCTTCCTCTTCTTGCCCAATGAGAGGGTCAGGAAGCTTCCACCACCATCCTGACTGTGGCCACCACATCCTGGTGTGAAGCACCACCAGCTTCCTCCATAAGAACTCTGAAGGTCACCAGCCAGCTTGAGTCCTCTGAAAGTGCTGTGGCTCAACCAGCAGCCTGTATAGCAGAGAGCACAAGACCCTGGACCTGAGCTCAGACCCACCTTAAAGAAGGAACTCCACCACTTTATTGTAAGCCTTGATTTTCACATCTTTGGTAGGGGCAGGTGGGAAGTTGCCATATTTACCTTGTTGGGGTCTTTGGAAAAATTAAATGAAATGTTAATGTATGTTACACAAGGGGCTCATAGGAGGGATTCAAAAGCTGCTAGTTCTTTTACTCCTTTTTCCCGGAAACAGTATTAAAGAGTACCGTAGAGGCACTGGAGAATTCCTGCCCCATATGACATGTCCTTGGTCTCTCCTGGGGACTTTGAAGACCCATAGGCTCGCAGCTCCCCGTGCGCCTCCCCGCTGCCGCCTCACCTCCCCTCTCCACCATCCCCTGCCATCCCGGTGTACGCCACCCCCAAAAAAACTTTCAGCCAGCTCCTCGGTGAGGGTCTTTCCAAATCGTGGCCGACAGTAGGGGGCTGCACCCTCCTTTGATCGCGTCGTGCCCAGCCTCA